GGCAAAGTTAAATTATTAATTTTTTAACTTCTGCTCAATCTTCACTGATGCAATTAATCACTTTGATTAAATTATTAATTTTTCTTCACCTGTCTATATTGCCAATTAAAATGGCAGCTGTGGGCAGCTTCTTGATTGACAATACACAGACTGGCAAACAAAACAATGTTTTAGTTTAAATGAAGTGATTCATTGCATCAGTGATGCTCTAGCACAATGGTCCCCAACCTAGGGCCTCCAGATATTCTTGGACTACAACTCCCAGAAGCCTTCACCACTACCTCTGCTGGCTAGGATTTCTGGGAGTTGAAGTCCAAGAACATCTGGAGGCCCAAGTTTGGGGACCACTGCTCTAGCAGATGTAAAAAAATTAATAATACATAAGGGTTTGATGTGCCAGAATGCCTGCCTGAAGAGACAAGTCTGAATAGTTCAAATCCCTATCGTGCCTCCCAGAAGCATGTGTAGCTGATGGCACTGAGTGCCCTAATACCTATGTGGCGAATAAACTCCATGGTCACACAAAACAGGACTGCTTAATTGAGCACTTTATACCTAGAAGACTTTAGGAAGCTTGCAGTAAGTCAGAATCAACTTGACAGCATGTAATTATTAATCTTCTTACAGTAGGGATAGCTGCTGCACAAAGCAGTGACTCTTGCTATGCTGGAGTGATTTTATTGGCTTGGAGCACACAATCAGATGTGTGTCATAGTAATGGGCTATCAGGCACACAAAAATAAAAGGACTACCTTCTAAGAACAACAGGAAATTGCTTCCTGATGTTCAAAACCTTTAAAGGTTAAATTTCAAAATTGAAGGTTACAATAAGATTAACCTTTTAATTTTTGAATCATTATGAATTACTGTACTAAATAACAAATCTTCAAATTACATGGGCACAACAACAGGACCAATGTCACTGACTAGCTATTGTCTGGGAAAATTACTTTCTCAGACCTCAACTCTCAGACTTAGTGCGGTGGCTCCCAACCTTGGGTACCCAGATGTTCTTAGACTTAGAGATGGGGGTATTTGTATATGAATACCCCCCCACAGATGGACATAATGAGGGTCCAGCCCTCTGGAGCCAGACCATCCACTCACCATCTGCTGCTGCTGCAGGCTCTACACTCCCTTCCGATCGCTCCAGAGCTCACAGTTGGCGAGCCACTCTTTGACTTGGCAGAGAGGCTTGTCGTCCTGCGTCCTGCCAGGAGTGGCTAATCAACCACAAGCTCCAGAGTGATAAGAAGGGAGCCCGGAGCTCACAACAGGAGCAGATGGTGAGTAGACAGTCCAGCCCCAGGGAGTCGGACCCTTGTTATGTTCACCTGTGAGAGTGTATTCATATTTGTATACAAATACCCCCATCTCTACTTAGATCACAGCTCCTAGAAGCCTTCACTGGTAGCTGTGCTGACCAGGATTTCTGGGAATTGCAATCCAAGAACACTTGGGGACCCAAGGTTGGGAATAACTGTTCTACAGGATTCCAAGTTTTGGCATAATCGCTGACAGCCTTACCTCCTTCTACAGAACTTTACCAAGACAATGCTTATGTCTGAATGGAAAAATAAACTTCAGTACTGACTTCCTGGAGAAACTGTATGTTGTTTTTTTTTGTGTGTGAACTCAACCACTGGCTATATTTGCACAAAATAGCAAACCAATATTGTATTTAAATGAGCTGCATGCTGGCCTGTGTGATCTATATGCTACCACTTTGTTCCTTCCATTAGATCTACTGGCTGAACAAACTGCAATTTTAATGCATAGTTTAAATTGGAGACCTTCCTCCAAAACAAGCTAGGATTTGTAAATCAAGAAAACCTTGTTTATAATACTGGCTTGTAGCCACAATTACTGGTTAAACTGCAAACATTCCAAATTTAAGTAGTCATACTAGTGGAAGAAACCAAACATGACCAGATGCTTTGAATGCATGAAGTTGTAGAGGCTTGGGTTTGTTTTTTTTCCCCAAAGAAAGCTTCTTATTCCATGGATATACAAACATTGGCTTAATATGTTTGTACATAATTTGGCAAGCATCAAGAAATATGAGGCAGGCGCAGATTGAGCTTGTTGTAACATAGAAGGGGGAGGTTACAGTGTTGTCAGAATGTTATGCACAATCAAGTTGGAACTTACTTATAATTATGTTAATAAGGCTTTGAGGGGTTTTTTTAAACCACATACATGGAAGGCCAGTGTGGTGTCCCTGAGTCAGTATAGTGGGGATAATGTGTTAGATCAGACTGGGAAGTCACTGAAACGTTCTGAGGCAAGCATTGTGTTTCATCTTAGCCAACTTTAATGAGTTGCTCTAAGGACGAAAAAGTATTCAGCTTAGACTTCTTAGAAAAAGGGCAATTAATCAAAACTAATGAGTGAATAAATGCTGTCAGTTTTCTATATAGCCTTTCTCTAGTGGATCAAGAACTATGAACAACATAACTGTAAAGATATTCTAGCTCTCATGACTATTGTACAGAGGGAGCTACTATGAAAATGTATCTTGTAATCCCACCCACTCCAGTATTATTCAATGGGTTTTATAATTTCATAGGACACTTTATTAGCAGAATACTTGGAAGCATTATAATAATAATAATCTTAGAACTGTAGAGCCGGAAGGGATCCTATAAATCAGTCTAACTCTTGTCAAGGAGGAACTGTGGCGAATTGATCTCTCAACCCCTGGCAGATACCTAAACCACTGAACTATCCAGGAGTCCTCAGGAGGATGAAATGGAAATGAAGGTAGAAAGTCCAAGTTGCTTTCTATATAGATATCACAGCAACACTGCATAAAGAAAGAACTGAAGGAAGACAATAAATTATCACAATACGTGAAGTCAACTTTTTCCTTGCAGCTAACTTTTACTGTATCTCATTTTTGGAACACTGGTTAGAGTTTATCCATTTACGTTGTATCAGATTAAGACATACAGTACCTCAAAAATACAAGAGGCAAATTAGGAACTACGGAGATGTTTTGTGAGAACAGTACCAAAATTTTGTTCCTCCAAATTGTACGATGTACAACAAATTGAAATAACTTTCTTTTGAATAGAAATAAAAAACCCAACTTTATACTTTCAGATGTGTAAGGATCAGGTCTTAGCATGAGAAAGCAGAAGTCCCATTTCTCACTTAAATTTCAACTGACATTTTACACTAGACGTGAAGACAGCTACATTACCAAGAATAAGGTCCATGATGGAAATGAAATCTTAAATTAAATCATTACACACAGCACATGCATACTGCATATGCAATCAGAAAACACATTCTATAAATACTATAGCTAATATGGACAGTATTTTGGCACCTACTTATTAACTTGAAATAATATACTTCTTAAAAAGCATTCTGAGCACATAAGAGAAAAAGCTCACTGATTTGTTCTACATTCTATTAAAAAGCAGGCTTATTCAAATGGTTACTTTTGATCACTCATGCATTTAAAATAAAGTTAAATAAAGAAATTCAGAGACACATTCACTTAGAAAAGTGGGAGCAAGGGATTAGATATTGCAGCAAACAAGGCAAAACTATCTGAAAGCCAGAGAAAAGGATTAGCAATTATGCTACAGTTTATACATTAAGTTCTATATTCAAAAAGCAAAATCTACATTTCTCACCAACCAAGAGACAATCCCCCCTTTTTTCTACAGAATACTGTATTGAAGTGTATCATACACATATGTTATATTTGTTTTTTCCCTGTTTATCTCTTCCAGATCCAGGAAAACCTGCTTCCATACAGGGACAACATTTCAAATTCAATCTTCTAGCTGCTGCTACCAGTATCTTAAGCTATAGCAGGAGGAGGTGGTTATATTTATGCTTTGCTCTCTGTCTTAGAAAAGCTACTAGACAGAGGCTGAGATCCTGCTGCTTCATTTGGTAAGCTGCACAAGAGTAAGCCCTCAAAATCAGTAAATCAACTCCTCCATAATTTCCATTGATACAAAAGGGCCTACTTTAGCTGAAACTTACTTTAGCATAGTGAGTCACAATTACAGTTGGTTCCTTGGAACCCCTGGAATTTTTGGGGTTGATTCCACCAAATCCCCACTGATTCACTGGGCCAACTCTACTGCAATTTAATCACTAAGCAACAGGATTTCAGCCAATGTGTCCTTCAACCCAAATTTGGGGCTACAAGCACAACTTTGCAACACAGCAAATTTCAATATAAAATTATATCTGGACTTTTGGGGAACCAGCGAAATAATCCCAGCCTTTACTAAAAGGAAGCACATAATGTTAGCATAGATGCTGCTCCTGAAATTTGCTTTCCTCTTTCCTAATGAAGCATGAGAACGGGAATAAAGGGCACTGCCCCCACTTATGAAATGTGATAGATTCATGGGGTTGACACAAGCAAGCTGTTCGTCAGCGTCAACCTTAGCCAGAATCTGAGGACTTCCAAGTACTGTAACAGAACTTAAAACGCCGAGAAAGTTCCTGCCAACCCCTGAAACGAACAAACTGTTCCGTTTGATGTTCTTGCTGGCACCCCACAAGATCAGCAGCCAAACCAGAAATCTTAAAATTCTTCAAAAACCAAACGAGGCTGTGGGGTTCTTTTTACACGACAATTCTGAGAAGCAATGCCGTGTAAAATAAATGTCATCGCACGAATAGTACGAACAGGCTAAAGAAGATCTCAAGCTTTATCCTAGCCCCGAAAAAGCGATACCTCCCGAGCTTAAGGATGCTATCCTGTGCCTGTTTTTCCCCGCGGGTCAGCTTGTCGAACTCAATAGGGTTTGTGCTTATATACTCAAATAAGGATCATACACAAGAGTCCAGCTTCTGCTTGTCTTCCTCCAGGGACCGGCCAAGCCCTAAAGAAACCCTGATCCACGGCTACGGACGGCGGTGGAGGAACCAAGGGGACATACACGAGCGGAGCCGCAGCGCCCCCCGCCCCGAACTTCCCGCTCGCCGCGCCGGAGGCGCTTCAGCCCCGCCAATCCCTCGCTCACCTCGACGAGCAAGTAACTCTTCTTCCTCGGAAGCTCTCCAGCCCCGCGTTGTCCCTTGGGCTCCTCTGCCCGGCGAGCCTCGACAACTAGCCGCCTCTGGGGACGCAGCCGGAGTTTCCCTTTCTTGCCCCGTGGAAGTGGAGCTGGCGAGCAAAGAAAGACGGGGACTCGCTCGGCTTCTCCGCTCCGGCTCCCGGCGGCACGCTGCAGGTGCTTCGGGCTCCCGGCGACCCAAAGTCCGGGCACTTCGCGACGGCGCTCTCGGCTGTCAGAAGAAGGCAGCAAAGAAACTGGGGTGGTGGTGGTGTTGAAGTCGGGAGGGGGGGCAGCGGCTGGGAAGAGCACCGCCCCTCGCCTGAGGCGCCGCCCTGGGCACGCTATCGCGCCGCCAAAGCCCCGCAAGGAAGGACGCCCGGAGTCTCGCCTCAGTTGCACTCTTTCTCCCCGCGGCGCTTGGGCTCCTGTTTGGGTGACTGAGAAGGGCACCCGCGCTGCGTGCGCCCCAGGAGGCCGGCCGACGAGGGCGGGGAAGCGGCGGGTCCTTTCTATCGCCTCACACACACCCCCGCCCGGCGATCACAAACACACGGCGCCTTCCCGCGCTCTGTTGTGGGAAGGAAGGGCGGCAATGCCAGGCTCGCTCTGTGAGGAAAAGAACGAGCACGGGCTGGCTCTAGCGTTGAGTTAGCCGGGCCGCCTTGAACTTTATGGACGGAAGGCGCCGATGTCGAATAAATAAAAGGATAGAACAACACAGCAGGACTTGTCCCCCGACTGCTTTCGTTCATGCCTTGCCCAAGTTTCATCTTCCTTTCTTCCCCAAGCTGTGATCACTTCAACCTGACCCTGATGCCACAGAGGGTTAAAAATACGTATTTTCTCCATCACATGCAGTTGTGCTGTTTTGCATTCTTGTCTGCGGGTCTTTTCAACATTTCCATCTTGGTTTCTTTTCCTTCCTCAGGGAGGTTGGGCCACGTCAAGGTGAACAATTACTGGTGTATTGTGTCCAAACTGTTCCCCAGGGCTTCTAAGCCAACAAATTTTTCTCAGTGCATCTTTGACCCGTTTATTTTACTTTGGATGATCAGCTGTAACAATCTGTTACTTCCGTTTCTCATTGTGCAGACCAAATACTCAAATTTGCTGCACTTCATGTGCAAAATTAGGCTTAAGAGACAGAATCTAACAGAATTTCTCCTCACGTCTTGTATGAGATACTAAAACTGTACCTAAATTATTGGCCCAAAGACCCTTCTGTTGTTGCTGGTCTAGAATGCAGTTGCGTATTTCTATTCTAGACAGAGAAGATAAATACAAGAATTAAATCCAATGTTTATTTATTTATTACATTTATAACATCTTCAACACAAAAGTATTCTCAGATTAGCTGAGGATAAACCCAACAGTGCATTGCATCAGGACAGTATGAAGGAAAACTATTATGAGCTACTGGTGAAATAGTTCAGATCTTGCACATAAAATATAGGCATAAGAATGCTTCACTCATTCAATTATGATTATTTGTCATACACTGAGCAGGCAAATCTGTCCAAAGAGACCTTCAACACACAAGTATTCTCAGATTAGCTGAGGATAAACCCAACAGTGCATTGCATCAGGACAGTATGAAGGAAAACTATTATGAGCTACTGGTGAAATAGTTCAGATCTTGCACATAAAATATAGGCATAAGAATGCTTCACTCATTCAATTATGATTATTTGTCATACACTGAGCAGGCAAATCTGTCCAAAGAGAAACCTAAATCCTATTGATTTAAATAAATTTGCTCTAGCGGTTACTAAATCTAGACTAACCTCCAACAATTAATAATGTCAATAAACTGGTAGGTGAACACAACAAATGTAACAAATAATGTGAAAATATGACATTTTAAAAGATTATAGAAGTCTAGGATAAGTTTTTGTCTGAAATGAAAGCAAAGTGGGCACCAGCTGAACCTCACTGAAGAGATAATTTCAAACTCAGTGCCACAAATGATAAGGGTTTTTTCCTAGTCAACACTCATATTATTTCAAAATGTGAGCTTATGTAAGGGAAAGCTTCAATTTATTATCTCAGTGTGCAGATCTAAGAGGAATGGGTGTCTGTGAGGGAACAATTGGGGGTGCTTGCCACCCTGAATTCTAAACTTTATATTTCTTTAACCATGTATAAGTAAAAACTACAATAAGTTCAACCACCTGTATCAACTCTCCCCTCCCATTGTTTCTGCAGATTCCCTTGCAAAAATGATCCAGAATTGCACTCTTGTAATTGCTATTTCTGTTTGTTTCACTGATGTGACAAATATGGCCTTCCAGCTATTGTTGGATTGTTCCATCATCCTTCACTATTAACTATGCACACTGGGACTGAAGGGAATTGAAGTCCAACAACATCAAGAGAGTTACACATTCCTACCCTCAATTCAGCTAAATTGTCAACCAATCATTAGTCCCAACTATGACAAACTCGCTTAAAGAAAGGGACTTTGTAAATCAACCCTAATATAAATCTCATGATTTAAGTGGGTCTATTAAATTGATTATGATACCCAGAGTGGTGTAGTAAACAGAGTGATGGACTAGCACTCAGGAGACCTGGGTTCAAATCTATGTTTGAAAGTCACTGTGGCAGTGGTGGAACTAGTAAGACCACTCGTTAACTATCTTACTTACTTTGAAAGCCCTGTTAGGTCCTAAGTTGGTTCCGATCGGACTAGATGCCACACAACACACAATAGGTGCCTAAGTTGGTTCTGATCAGACTAGATGCCACACAACACACAATAGGTGATTGGGATTAACAACTGCATTTAGTCCTGGGAATGCACATCTGTAATGCTCACTGTCTCATTACCTTCTATAATCAATTTTCAACTCCCCAATGCCATTCTAGAATAGCTTCCTTAATACAAGTACTAATAGATTTAACAAGAATGTTTCTTGGCTTCTCTGACCTTCAAGAGGAACCAGAGATGCTTGCGTAATTCAGTCTTCATAAATTCTGATGCAAACTGACATGATTCACTCTTCCTAAACTAATTTTCTGATTGAAACACAAATATTCTTTGGATTTTGGGTTTCTACAAATGTTGCTATGCAATCCTTGGATCATAAAGATGCATAAAGATCTATTTTAAAAAAATGATATTAAAATATGGATATTAGGAAAAAAACATTTATAAGCACGTATTTTGTGAGAAAAATAGTTTATATTTATATATATTAAAAACTATTTTTCTCACAAAATATGTACTTATAAATG